CCTGCGCCTCAATGCTGCTCCCTGCGCCTCAATGCCGCTCCCTGCACCTCAATGCCGTTCCCTCCGCCTCAATGCTGCTCCCTGCGCCTCAATGCCGCTCCCTGCACCTCAATGCCGTTCCCTCCGCCTCAATGCTGCTCCCTCCGCCTCAATGCTGCTCCCTGCGATGGCCTCTGATTGCATAACTTCAGCGCCTGTGTGATTCTCACACCCCTACTTGATGCTCTCAGGCCCAGGATGCGCAGCGAGGCCTGGTGCCCTCAGCGGCTGCCTACCGCCCCCTCTTTTGCAGGCGCCTGGCACCAGCTGCCCAGAGCACCCTGGCCCGACCTCCGCCCAGCTGCCCGCCGCTCACTGGGTCCGCAGGGTGAAGGCCGCGCTGGTGATGGACGTGGGCAGGTTGAGGCCCTTGGTGATCTCCCGCCACAGCTTCTTGTTGATGACCTCCACGAGGCCGCCCTTCTCCGTCACCAGCACGTACAGCATGAACAGGTCAAGGACCTGTTTGGCCATGATGGGGATGCGGTTCACGGGTGTTCCTGGGGAGAGGGGCGAGAGGGAGGTGGGGGGCTGCCCGGGCACTGCAGGGAGCCCAGTGTCCCCGCCTCCACCCTCTCCACGCCGGAAGCACCCACCATCCAGGCTGTGACAACCACAGAGGTCGCCGGACGCTGCCCAGGGTCTCCTGTGGGCACAGGATCACCCAGGCTGGCAACCGCTGCTCCAGAGGGCACTGGAGGGGCAGCTCCGCCTTGGTTTCCCCACCAGTAACCCGGGCACGGGGATGGTGCAGCCCTCGAAGCTCGGGAGGAGGGACGTGCGGGAGACGCAGGGATCTCTGTTACCCTTCTCCATGCCACCCACCACAGCAGCTGCCAAAACAACCCCGCCACGCTCCCAGGGGCCCGTCCCCGCCACGCTTCCAGGGGCTCTGCCGTCTCAGGCAGGCAGTGGGGAAAGCTCAGCTCATCCCACTTGCAGTTTGGAGAATGGAGAGCTGTGGGCTAACCCAGGCAGGGGAGGGAGGCGTGGGGGGTGGGCTAGCACAGGCACAGGGGGTGGGGGTGGGTGGCTAGCCCAGGAGGAGGGGGTAGTGGTTATGGCAGGGTGGGAAACGGGGAGGGTCGGCGCAGGGGCAGGTGGGCTAGCCCAGGAGGAAGGCTCACACAGGCCCCTGCAACCTCACCTCCTGAAGCCCGCTGCAGACACAACCCCTCCTCGCCCTGCCACCCCACCCACCCTCAGGGCTCTGCCAGGCTGCCCCTGTACCAGGAGCCTCTGCTTCAGATGTCAGCCCTCCCTGGCCTGACAGCCCACAAGCCCCCACTGAAAGCCCTGGTCCTGTCAGTGAAATTCTGGGCTTATGGCCGGGCGCGGTGGCTCAAGCCTGTAATCCCAGCACTTTGGGAGGCCGAGGTGGGTGGATCACGAGGTCAAGAGATCGAGACCATCATGGTCAACATGATGAAACCCCGTCTCTACTAAAAATAC